AATGGTGGCCGCGGAGCGCATGAACTGGCGCCCGTGCGCGTCAGGGCGCATGCGCGCAAAGTTATGCCCAACAACCAATTTGGAAGCCTCTGAATTACTTTTGCCTTATTTTTTCTTTGCTGTTTATATTCAATCGGTCATTAAGTTTTCTCCATTCTACTTATTAAGTATCTCTTACCTTTCCCCTACTCTCCATTCTGCCTGCCTTTGTCTCTCAGTTAAGTCTATTGCAGCAGTCTCCTGATAGGTCTCCTTTCCTCCTGTTATACCCTGTTCTTTCTGCCTGGAATGATATTGTCTACCTGATGAATGCCTATTCATCTTTCAAGACCTCCTCTGTAAAATCTTCCTTAACATATTGTCTATACATATAAAATTCATCATACCCTCTACTGGGCCTCTATGTCACTTTTACAAACCTCTATTTCATTACTTATATTACATTGTAATTATTGCCTATAACCCTATGGAGTGTGCATTCTTTCAGAATAAGGACTGAATATTACTCTATTATCTATCTTTCTGCTACCCTTATCTTCCTAACTCACCCCACCACAAAAAAAAAAAGGAAAAAAAAAAAAACCCTCCTTAGGACATGGTGTTGCTTTTTCTTCCATTCCTTTATCCACATGTGATAGAATAAGTCAATCTTATCCTTACCGTCATCTGTACCTTCTTGTGTCCACTTTTCAGAAGGATGAGATCTGTTTGCTAACTCATCTGGAACAGAATGGTGGAAGTAGGAAAGAAGTACATCTGTCTGATTTATTAACATTTATACCTGAGCCTACTGAACTTGAGAATATTGTTCTTAGGGCCGACCTGTGGCGCACTCGGGAGAGTGCGGCGCTGGGAACGCAGCAACGCTCCCGCCGCGGGTTCGGATCCTATATAGGAATGGCCCAGTGCGCTCACTGGCTGAGCGCGGTGCGGGCGACACCGCACCAAGGGTTGCAATCCCCTTACGGGTCACGAAAAAGACAAAAAAAAAAAAGAGAGAGAGACTATTGTTCTTAGATGATCTGGTTGTCAGTAAACACTGTAATCCAAGAAGGAATAGTCTATGGAATGTACCATAAGAGATTTTTCTTATGCCCTTTAAGAAGTCTCTTTTAGGAAGATAAGGGGCAAACTGCCTCTACAACTCCCATGTCTATTCACCTTTTCCATTAATGGTGATTTCCCTTTTCAGTGGAGATACATGAAAGGTAGCATAGCATATAAAAGTCAGATTCTTGCATGCACAGAGCTAAAACATGAAGTCTATGTTGAGGGGAGAGGTCTTTTTTTTTTTTTTTTTTTTTTTTTTTTTGGCAATGATTATAATTGTTATTGGTGGGAGACTTCTTTATGGAACCGACTTGGTTTAATCAAGGACTGCAACCATTTTTTTAAACACCAAATGCCCTGTAACTTCTATGGAGGTGTAGTTTACATTTATACAGATTGTAGTGGGGGGATTGATTCAAGGACTGGCATCTGCTTTTGCTGGTGGGGAAATTTGTCTTGAACATTGGTAAATAGGAGGAGTTTTTGATGCTGTTAATACTGAACTTTTGCACTTCTGCCTGTTATTCAGGTTAACCCATTCAGAGGTTCCATATAGTAGTGGAGCCGCATCATCCACCAACAATCCAGAATTTGTGGAAGATCTCTCTCAAGGTCAATTGCTTCAGAATGAGTCTTCAAATACAGCAGAAGGCAATGAACAGAGGCATGAAGATGAGGTAAGCTGAAATATCTCCTCCTGTTACTGTCCTCTGAAGCTTCTGGAGAAGCAGTCAGCAAGGGAGGTGTTTATCAGGATGTTCATCATCTGGCCTTCTTACATTCTTGGGCTGATTCCTGCAGAATTTTTTTTTTATATTTCTTGTCTTACATAGAACCATATTAATGGTTTTAATGGCATAGTGACAGGTAGACTCTCTTTTTTCCCCCTGCCTAAGAAATTTATATCTACCTCATATTAGATGCTCAACAAGCGCTTGTTGAATGAGTGAACACTTTAATTAAATAAGTAATTCATGAGAAATCTACTTGCCCTTGCTCAGGGTCACACTGCTTACCAAACCCTGCAGCATGGAGACATATGTGCCCAAAGGATTCATACTACTAACCCAGTCCTTCACCCTCCCATAGGGGGCACCTTTCTGTACTTCTCACAATGGTTCCATATGGGCCTGGGTAGTCATGCCTTGGACTTTCAGTGTTCTTTACAAATAACTGATTAGATTATCTATGTTTTAAAGGCACTCTTTTTTTAGCCAGAAAAGAGTACCACCATTGATTTTTATCTCCTTTCTTATTTTAAAAGAGCTATTTTTTTTTTTATCTATCCTGTTGACATTCTTTTTTTTTGGGGGGGGGGGGGACCATTGATTTTTATCTCCTTTCTTATTTTAAAAGAGCTATTTTTTTTTTTATCTATCCTGTTGACATTCTTTTTTTGGGGGGGGGGGGACCAGTAAGGGGATCGCAACCCTTGGCTTGGTGTCGCCCGCACCGCGCTCAGCCAGTGAGCGCACTGGCCATCCCTGTATAGGATCCGAACCCGCAGCGGTAGCACCACTGTGCTCCCAGCACCGCACTCTCCTGAGTGAGCGATGGGGTCGGCCCCCTGTTGGCATTCTTAAAGATTACAGTGAATGCTTAAAGCTTCTTAAACATCTTAAAATCCTTAGTAGCCTAATGTTACTAGATTTATTTAAAAAAAAAAGCAACCAACACCAAATAACTAATACCAAGTACACCATTTACCTAATGGTGAATTATTGCACCATCTCATATATTTGGAGGAGTAGAGTACTACAATTAATATTTAGATGTTTTGTCCCTTTTTATTTATCTTTCTCTTATCTGAAATAAGAATTCTCATATCCATAAAACATTATCAATTGATAATATGCTGTGTGTAGTTGTAAAATTATGAAGCAGAAATATGATGTACCTTATATCTCCTTTAAAGGGCCAGGTAAAGGGGCTATGGTTAAACATCAGTGGTACCTCAATTCTTTCTTTTTATATATATAGTTTTTTTCAGCAATGATTTAATCTTTTTTTTTTTTTTTTTTTAATTTTGTCGATATACAATTGTGGCCCATTACCGAAAACTCCCTCCCTCCTCTCTCTCCTCCCTCCCACCCAACAATGTCCTTTCTGTTTGCTTGTCGTATCAACTTCAACGAATTGTAGTTGTTATGTCTTCTTCCCCCCGCACCGGTTTTTTTTTTTGTGTGTGTGTGTGTGTGCGAATTTATTTATTTATTTTTAGCTCCCACCAATAAGTGAGAA